ATACATTTTTGAGAAGCTTATGGGCAAACTAGATCATATATTTATAAATATACAGAAAACATAACCTTAGTTCATATCTTCAAAAATATTAGTTAAGTTTCCCTGATATAAAGAATTTATTAGTTGCTTCTAAAATAAAAGAAGAGATAATAAATATAAATTTATTAATAAAAATGGCAGTATACTTTTAATAATTCTTTAGTTTCTTCTAAAAATGATATTTTAATAAAAACTTTTGAATATTGCAGTAAATAGTGAAAATAAATGAGTGATATACATTTTTGAGAAGCTTATGGGCAAACTAGATCATATATTTATAAATATATAGAAAACATAATCTTAGTTCATATCTTCAAAAATATTCTTTTTGTAGAATACCAGACTACGCCATTCTATTCTACGAAAAAATTCTTACAAGAAACAGTTTTCGCCTTTTCAATACCTTTCACAACAACAGAGATCCGGGGGGTGTCCCAAATTGCAAAATTTTCAAAAAGTCCCTGTAGCTCAAAAACCAAAAGGACTATGAAAATTTTGTTTACAGCATCTTCCGTTTGACAAAAAAGTGGGACAGGTTTATGCAAATCGAACCCTCCTATCGTCACTAATAACGGAGATACCGTATGATTTCAATCAAAATGGGACACCCTGTACATGAAACAAATTTTAAAATATGCTCCTATTCAATTATTGATGACTTACAGCATGCATCAGGTAATAAATAAATAAATGACTTTATTACACAAAGAAAATTGCACTGCTCCAACTCCCAATGGATGGCATAAACAGAACGTACAACTTCTCAGTGAGAAAAAAATCGGTCGTCGCGTCGGTTGAGTTGGTTGGTTGAAATATTTATACTGAAATTTATGTAGGGATGGATGTAGTTTCCACCCTTCCCGTACTTTTTCTCGGTATTTGTGAAAGTCAAATGTTATTAAACCACTTAGCAAAATATAGACACCAAAAATCTCATTCAAATCAAAATAACGCGTCTTAATATATCTGATTTTTTTATTTTTTTAAAGTTTGATGCTCTCTAGCGGACAAACGAAGCACTTTTGAATAGACGTAAATTATGTCCAATGGACTTAGTTTAAATCCAAAAGTGCGTAGTAGTTCTATGTCCACGGAATATTGGTACACCGTGTATATAAATAAAAAAAAATTCTAAAAATTCTTTATACAAAAATAGAAACTAGCTCACATTTATTTCACCACAGGGGCTGCAAAAGGAGAAACTGGAGTATAGAAATTTCAAAGGTCAAGAGATTTTATTTTTATCCGAGCGCAAAATATTACTTGACTGTTCTGAGGATATACATACAAAGAAAAATAAAAGTGATTTTTTTTTATTTTTTAACACCACAAATAAAAAAAATACTTTTGTTGTTTACTTTTTGGCTCGCCCCCTATAATTCTTCTATAATTTATAATATTCCTTTTTTCAAAACTTCTAACTTATTTCTTAACAAAACAGTTACCTGTAAAATCAAATAAATTTTCACATCAGTGCTCCATATAGGAGATCGATATTCCATTTCAGCAGATTTGAAGGATTTATATCTTGACATTTTGGTGAAGGATTTTTTTTTAAGTTATGTTAAATAGGATCTACTAAAATTTTTGAAAAATGATTATTAATGTTAATAACAATTAATTGTTAATATACCAAATAATAGTAATAAATTAAGTTAGTTTAATCTATTTAGTTAAAAATTTGCCGTAAAATAGGCCACAGACCTCTAAAATTCTATTTAAACATACAGAATGGCAATCATAGACTAAATGGCAATTCTGAGACATACATTGCATTGCAACATACATATCTATAGTATGACCACAACGTTTTATGATCAAGCGTGTTTTATACAATGACTGAGATAAACAATTCTTACAGAAAATGAGTTAATTAAAAAACCAATCCTGGTTTTTCCGAAATTTTGTACATTTTTTTTGTACAATAATGACAATCGATTATAATTTTAGCGAGGTCGAGCACTAGACAGGTAAATTACTAGCGATGGGAACTATCGAATGAATTAGACTATCGAATGGTTACTGAATGAATGATTTCAACTATCGAATGGTTTTATTCAAATAAAATCATTCATTCATTTGTATACTAAAGCATATGTGACAACCTCGCCGTGCAACTAAATGGTTATCGTTGAGCCACGACTATCGAATGCTTTTGATAAATGAAATTTAGTATTCGTTTGATTTTTGTGTGCGTCAGTGCATTATTAGTTCTTCCAAATTTTTATAACTTCACCTTATAAATACTGTGCCAATTTTGGGTTTATTAAAATATTTAAAATACTAAAATAGTAGTTTTTTTTTGACGATTGTGTGCGTGTGTCAGGGCAGGTGTCAAAATTTTTCCGAAAATTTGTGTGATTTTCCGTAGCCCGATCTTTCAATTATTTTATTTTATATGGGATATATGGTCTATTTTTTAATGGGAAATTTTGAGAAGTAGCAATTTTTAAGAGAGATGAGATGAACTTAGAATTAATTTTAAAAATACATATTTGTATTTTAGATGTTTTAATAATATGAATTAGTTGAACTTAATAATCATATTTAAGTAATGTGGTTAAGTAAATGGTTATCAAACTCAAACTATGAGGTGAGAAAATTAAATAGAAAGTTTCACACGTGCCAATTTAAAAAAAAAGTTAATGATGTTTGTATTTTATTTATGCTAATTCTTACATGTAGTTGTTTGCGAAGAAATATTTCATTTATTTTTTAAAGTAAATGCCAGTAAAAGTAAATATTATTTTTAAATAGTAATATAAAGTACCTAATATAAATAATTTTGATTTCTAATTTTTTATTTATATTTTCCTTCCATTACACTGCATGCTTAGAAAATTAATAAATGTTTATATTTCATGATTTTAAAGTTTGTTGTTAATATAACAAATTAATTCTGTAATTATTATTATTTAATAAACCAACGTTGCCACACAAAAAATTTAAAGACTATATTATTTTTAAATAGGATCTAATATAAATAATTTTGACATCTAATTTGTTGTTTATATTTTGCTACTAGGTATAACAAATTATTACTGTTATTATTATTTTTATTAAACCAGTCTTTGCTTAAAAACATTAAAAATCATTTTCCTACATCCAAAATAACAAGTATTATTGCAGTGTAACAACAGAATATTAATAAAAAAAATGCAAAATATATAGACATAGTATCCCTAACTAACTAAAGCCAAACAATAATATTCTTTGCTAATATCAACTAATACCAATATATGGCAACAGCGCCCTTCATAATGTATTTTCTGTATAATTAATATTAATATTAATGTGTCCTTATCTTTATATAACTCCGCAAAAAATCAAAGATGCCGGCTTCTTTCATAGCATTGCCACCGACCGCTGTCGGGTCTCTCGGAAAGAAACCTACGTCGCCGGGCGACAACTAAAATCCAGTTAATATTTTAATTAATTTACATTGATTAATTGCCGAATTACTAGAATACAATATTTCAAGCCAGATGACGCATCTATTCGATAATTTTTATTCGAATAGTTTTCAACGAATGTTTTTTTACTAAATAGCTATCGAATTATTCGAATGAATTGCAACTATCGAATGTTTCGATAGTATTCATTCGATAGTTCCCACTACTATAAATTACTACCGTATGATCGAATAAAAACGGCGTCCAATTGGCTTGGAAATGACGATCGATGACATTTCCCATATAATTTTACATATAAAATGACAGCGATCTTCATTTCATTGCCATCGCTGACGCCGTTTTTATTCGATCATACGGTACTTGGCCTGTACTCTACTTCTTAATGGCGCTTACAGCCAGTTGGTCGTAAGAAGGTTGTCATTTTTATTTTTATATTGAGTAAAAATGATTTTTATATGTTTAAAATTCGAGAAAAAATATTTTTTTTTGAAATAGATTTGTGTCTGGATACGTCTCATACTTTTTTAATATTTCGTTTAGAGACTGACATTGCTAAAATTATCATTGATTGCCATTCCAAAGCCGTCTTTGACGCCGTTCTTTTTTCGATCATAAACTATCTTTTTTATGTAAAGAAGCATCCTTTTTTAATGAGATCTGTACATATCTTGTAATTTCTCATATTTTACAATAAAAATACAGTTAACAATTAAAGAAAAGCTACGTCAATGAGAGGTATGAGCGGTGAAAACTCATTTTTATAAAAATTAATTAAAATATATATTTTCTTTACTTAGTATTAATATTAATAGGTAGTAAATTAGGAAGATTTGATAGCCAAGCTTAAAAAACATACGCCAATATTTTTTAAAACAGCTGAGAAAATCCCAATAAAACGGGATTTATATATTTAAATGGGATTTATTCAACTACATAGTGAAAATAATACAAAATATTTGTTTTGTGCATCTATTTTATTGACATATTTTATAATATATACACTGTAGAAATGTACTGTGATGTCTACAAAAGTTTTTTTTCGGTAATAAGGCCTCTATGGCTTGGACATTATGTTTTTTAGTAAATATATAATAAACAATGAAATATTCAAAATTATTTACAATACTAATAACAATAAAAGAAAATAGTTGTACTAATATAACACCCACTTTATTTAAGTATGACATACTTTTTTTGCTAAATTATATTCCAAATATTTTTTAAAATAATAGACAGAGCACTTATTATTCATAAAACATATATAATTTCACTAATACCTCAGATCATTTTTTTTTTCATTGAAAACAATCTAAAATATATACAGATAGTTATGGATATTGGTGAAACTACATAGTAGAAAATTTCAACAGAATTTTTTCAAAGTAATTGTAAGGTACACAGACAGGCTGATAATGGGTAAATCAAGAAATAGAGAAGAAAACAGACTAGTATAGTACATATTGCAACTAAAATCATTGTGGGTGCTCCGAAAGTATGAACTAAAACAAAAAATTCCAACAAGAGGTAAACTTTTTCCCGCAAAACATGTTTTTTTTTTCTTTGTAGAAGACATGAGAAGAATTTAAAAGTAAAACAAACAAACCTGAAAAATGCCCAATAAACATATACGTATATAAATATATTTACAATTGGAATATATATTGAATGGCACCATATGATTCCATCATTTTTAGTTTTTTTTCGAAAATTAAACTTAACGTTGGAGCTGTTGATGTGTTTTTGAAAATAAGAAAATATATAACCAAAAAAACGTTTCCAACTTTCAGTAAAAAAAAACACTAAAACAAAGAAGACCCACTTTTATTAAAACGGAACTTTTTTGTTTATCCCATTTAAATTAAGAAAAATCCCGTTTAATATAATTAATTAAAAATACGTCAATGGGAGGCATTTCTTAATCTGGGTAAAAAATCCCATTTTTATTGAAATGGGAATTTTTTTTTATTTGTATAGGAGCTTTTTTTATTAAAATGGGAGTTTCTTTTATATAAAAAATCCCATTTTTATTAAAATTATTTTTTTTTAATTGGGAGCTTTTTTATTTAAATGGGATTTTTTATTAAAGTAGGATTTTTCCTCTATTTGGTACATATTAGCAAATTTGTTAAGGCCAAAGAAAGGTTCGATGGCCAAACTTGAAGTAAACGTACGCCAAAGAGAGGGATTTCTTAATATGGCTGAGAAAATCCCATTCTTATTAAAAGGATTTTCTTTAAGTGGGATTTTTAATTTAAATGGGAGTATCTTATTTAAGTGGGCGTTTTTTTTTATTAAAATGGGATTTTTCCTCCAGTTAGTACATATTAGCAAATTTGGTAAAGCCTATGGAAGATTCGATGGTAAAACTTAATTAAGTAAACGTACGCCAATGAGAGTTATTTTTTAATATCGCTGAGAAAATCCCATTTTTATTAAAAGGATTTTTTTATTTAAATTAGAGTTGTTTTATTTTAAGTGGGATTTTTAATTTAAACGGGAGCATTTATTTAAGTGGGAGTTTTTTAATTTTTAATGAGTAGTAATAACTTAAATATTTAGTAAAAATAAACAAAACCAAATAACAAAAGGCACTTACTTCTATCCATTTGGTTTTTGTGTTTGTTTAACTTTTCGACGTTTAATGAAGAAAAGGTAATAAATACCATATAAATAAATAAAATTAAATAATACATTGATTTTTTTTAATTTCTCGATTCTTTTTCGACTTAAATCGTAAATATACACTTTGCACAGAAACTTAACACATTAATATATATAAGTAACTACATATATAAGTAATCTTTAAAAAAACATAAAAAAACATTTAATGTACAATTATTGTTTTGCTTGTATATACGTAAGTTGTAAAAATCCAAATATAAAACTATATAAAAATAGCATTTTCAGTACGAAAAAGTACCACAATATGGTTTTATTGATGGTACTTGAAAATAATACCATAGGATTAGATGTCACACATCCCACACTAAGCAAATAAACGAAAAATTTAGGCAAAATTAATCTAAAATTTTTTTCCAAAATGTCAGAAATTGTTAAAATTTTCTATGTATTTTTTTCTTTACAAAGTGTAGCACAAGAAACATAATAGATATAGCAATATAAATTATAACACTGTAGTGTTAGAATCTTATTTTGCCCCATTTTTAACAGAGTATTACTTTTTTAACACCCTGTATAGTTGTGTGTATTTATTTTAAATTTATTTTTATATTGAGAAAAAATTATTATTAAATGGTGTAGTTTAAAATTCGAAAAAAAATTCGTGTCTGGAAACTTCTATCCCTGTTTTATATCAATTTTTACTAAATGACGTGTAGAGATTGACTTCGCCAAAATTCTCATCGATCGTCATTCCTCAGCCGTCTTTGACGCCGTTTTTTTTTGATTATACGTTATTTGAAATCAGGAAAAATTGTACTATCTAATACACTTTTAAAATATGGGGTATTAAAAAGTTATGGTGAGTTAAAAGTAGGTTAAAATAAAATGGTAACACTGTATTTTTATTACAGAAATTATTGGTCCATCACTCTCAATATTGATAAAATTAGATTTATAAAAAAATTGAGAAAATAAAAAAACGATTTGAACCCTTTTTTAAAAATTTTAGATATCCATAGTAACAAACCAATTAGTATCAAAATCAACTTAATACACATAACCTTAATAAATTTCATACAGAAAACTATAACAAAGATGAGAATGTTGTTTAAAACAAGACTCAGAATTTTTAAAACAAATTTAAAACTTTCTTGTTCAATATAAAAAAATTTAACACGTAAAACTTCTGACAAAAAAATTCAAATCCTTTGAAAATTTACTAAAACATTTTTAGAAACTCTGTTAACAAAAATATTTTCAAAAATTAGTAACTTAAATTTGAAATAAATCACATACCTTGTTTCTGTAGTTTGTTTTTTAAAGAAAAATATTTCAAAACTACCAGGGAATTATTATGTATTTCCAAAATTATATAGTTTGTTCAAGAACAAGATGCACCAAACACAAACAAAATATCAGGAAAACACTTTAAAATGTCATGTATTTTAAAGTCCAGTATATTTTGATCTAGTTGGCCGATTTTGATGATTTTTTAAGCAATTTGTAGCTAAATTATTTGACTTTTTAAGCCCTTTTGTTTTTTGTTGTATAATATATAGATGGGCACTTTAATTTTTAATTTAAACAGAGGCTTAAAAAGTAAAAGAATTTAGCTACAAATTGCTTAAAAAATCATCAAAATCGGTTCACTAGTTTAAAATACAGGTTGTTAATTTGTTTATTACTCGCGGCAAGAGCTTTATGGTTGAAATATGGCAACCTCGGCGCGCTCGTCGAGGGACGACGCCGACGCGACGGGACGACTCGGCAGCTTAGCTTAGTACTCATTTGGAATGTAGGCAGTGTTGCCATTCTGTTCCCCAATAAGTAACCATCCAGTTAACAATCTGTATATTGAACTTTAAAATACATTATTTTTTTTTTGTTTGAGCATATTACCTTGATCTTGAACAAATTATAGATTTTTTATTTATTTAATTTAAATGGAAAAAATTGTATTTCATTTAAAAAGAAACACGTAATTTCTTGAGAAAAACCTAACGATTTAAATCGTACAGATTTTTAAGATTTATTGGACATTGAAATAAAGTTGAAAATATTTGAGTTTTATGATTGGATGTTAAAGTTTGAATTTTCAGTGTACAGCTTTTACTAAAATTTATATATCTGTGTGTGGGTGAATGAGCAAAAACAGGGAAATATTCTTTTAGCTTAAAGAGTACCGAAATCGCAATCAAACAGAGCAGCTAGACCTTCTGTCGTGTCCAAATTGAAATTGTACTCAGGTTGCATAAGAGGTTCCAATGGAACAAAGGGTTCTCCACAGAAGAAAGGATCCATACCTAGAGAAAAATAAAACGATATCTTTAGATAAAGCTAGTACATGTAAAAGAAATAATTTTTTTCTACACGGCGAGTCTTAAATAGGTGCACATATTTTTGGGGGTGGCAATTTTTTTTATAATTGAGAGTCCGGATTGCACAACGACCTCAGCGCGTGGCCGCGGGCAGCCCAGTAGGCAAGCGAGACAGTGACGCGACGCGCCGATTTAACAAAACAAATAATTTTAAACCTGCCGTCATTTCGTTAATAATTATCGTAGCGTGTTGAATTTTGCATAGAAATACTCATGAGTCTTTAGCGCTTCCGACAAGCCTAAATAACTGGATTATTTTTTATATTTTCGATTTGTTTACATTGCCCGAACATATTATAACTTTGAGATAAAAATCTCTGTTATAAATTTTAATACTGACAGATATGAATACTATCATTTAATTAGTTATACATTTAGTTACAACATATTCAAAATTTAGGTCTATCGGTTTATGCTAGCAGTAATAACGAGTATAAATAAAAAAATGGTCAGTACAACGCCCGCCGTTTTTAGCGCACGTTCAGCTTTGGTTTTAGTTTTAGCGCTATTTTTACAGAAAATAAATTCTGAACTTTGATCAAATGACAAGAACATTATCATTGCGTGTTATCTCCTGGTTATAATGTAGTTCTTTTTTCAAAATATTGCATTGTTTTAGCTTAAAAAACTTGAACTATGCGGCTTTTTTTGCGAGAGCTACCGGAGCTGCGTTAATAAAGAGATGGCTATGTACGTCAATCATAGCCACAATAGACTGTAATTTTACCTCATCACGAGATTTTTTGGAAATATTGCACTTCCATTTATCCGGATTTCTACTAACTTTTGACCTTTCTTGTCGGTCGCATTTCCCTCTATTTAATAATAAATAATTTAAAAAAACGCACAAATACTACTGGTAGTGAACAAGCTGTGGCAAAAATTTTCTAATTTTCTATACTCCGTGTAAACAAAAGACTATCGCAAATACTGTCTTTCGATTGACGTACATAGCCATCTCTTTATTAACGCAGCGCCGCCGGTAGCTCTCGCAAAAAAGCCGCATAATTCAAGTTTTTTTAAGCTAAAACAATGCAATATTTTGAAAAAAGAACTACATTATAACCAGGAGATATCGGCAATGATAATGTTCTTGTCATTTGATCAAAGTTCAGAATTTATTGTCTGTAAAAATAGCGCTAAAACTAAAACCAAAGCTGAACGTGCGCTAAAAACGGCGGGCGTTGTACTGACCATTTTTTTATTTATACTCGTTATTACTGCTAGCATAAACCGATAGACCTAAATTTTGAATATGTTGTAACTAAATGTATAACTAATTAAATGATAGTATTCATATCTGTCAGTTTTAAAATTTATAACAGATATTTTTATCTCAAAGTTATAATATGCTCAGGCAATGTAAACAAATCGAAAATATAAAAAACAATCCAGTTATTTAGGCTTGTCGGAAGCGCTAAAGACTCATGAGTATTTCTATGCAAAAATCAACACGATACGATAATTATCAACGAAATGACGGCAGGTTTAAAATTATTTATTTTGGTAAATCGGCGTTGTTCAATCCGGACGCTCAATTATGTTATTTTTCGAAATCTTTTTAATTTTCAATAATTAAAAAACATTAATATCTTAATAATATGGCAGCATAAGTAGTGGTTTAAATCAGTAACAATCAATTCGAAGTTGGTCAAAGAACGTAGAGAAGCTTAACAAATTATGCAAAGAAAATAAAGTCCTCCTACTCTGGGTGCTAGCCCACCAAGAGATAGAAGGTAATGAAAATATGTGCACTTATTTAACAGTCACCCTGTATAATATACTGAATATTTAATAATATAGTTACCGTGAACAATATTTTTATAAATATTCCTATAAATAATTATTTTCTTTAGTATACAGGGTCCGACAATAGTGCGTCGAGCATCTGTAGCTCGTACAATAAAAAAGTTGGGTGTTTTGTATAAGAACAAACCTAAAGTATGTATTAGGATGTATTTCAAGAAAATATTTTAACTTCTACGGAGTGACTCAGTGTAGAATTAAAAATATTTTCCTGAAATACATACTTTAGGTCTGCACAAAATCCCTAATTTTTTGATTATAGGAACTACAGATGCCCGACGCACTATTGCCGGACCCTGTATAAATATAATGATATAAAACGCTGTATAAAACATATAGGTTAGTAAATTTAAAACAGCAGGCACAACGACACAAAGTTAGTAACAGGACGATATACAAGTAGATTCAAGCATGAATGTCCACTGAACCAAGCATGATTGATTTCCCAAGCGGTTAGACATATAGCAAAACCCCCATTGAGCTGAATCCCATGGTGCTACGAGGTAAAAAAAAGCAGCACTCACGCGATCCAGCTCAACGCAGTTGCAAAAGCACAATTCCTCACAAACTAAGCGAAAATGTTTAATGGTATTTACCTTAAAATGTTAGAAATAATGTATGAAGTTATGAGACACGCATTAGTTTAAAATTACCACTGTTTAAATTTGCTGAAGATTATTAATACTTAAATAAAAGTACAGTCCACTTCATTAAAGTTGACGTAGTAAATGTAAGTAGTCAATGGGAAAAACATTTCTTAATTTGGGTGACAAAGATCCCATTTTTTTAAATGGGAGTTTTTTTATTTAAATGGGAGTTTTTTATTTAAATGGGAATTTTTATTAAAATGGTTTTTTTTATTAAAATGTGCCTTTATTAAAACTTGGTAAATTAAAAATTAAAAAAAAAATGGTAAATTTTTCAATTTTTTCCATTTTCCATACATATAAGAAAGTACTAAATATCGTACAAAAATTTTATGTAATCACATCCCTTGCGTTAACTGAAATGTTTCAGGACTAGTATTTGCTTTACAGATTCTTACTCGAAAAACAAAAGTGGGATAAAATCAGAACATAACCCCCTCTACGTAATCTAGTTTAGTGTAATAAAGATAAAAAGTTTGCAATGAATGGAGTAATCCCAGACAGTGCTTTGATTTATTGAAGGTACAAACTGACACTTTGACGTCATAGTGAACTCTCGTGAAATGGACCGTACATACCCTGCTGATCATCCAATTTACGTGGTCTGGATTTTAATGCCTGTGACAAAGAATAATATAAATGACCGGTTTGACAGACAGAGAGGCAAAAACAAAAGCGACATACAGTGTTGCCGGTTTTTTACGGTTGTAGGAAATTGTGTGTAGAAAAATATAAGCTATTAAAAACTTTCATGTATACTACTGAAATAATGATAATATATCTAAACTAAATATAATCTATAACAGCTGTAGTAAAATGAGTAACTAATACTGAAAAATAAAGTTCCAACCCTAGATGCAACATTTTTTGTAAACGCCTACTTGTGCGATTTGAAATTTTGATGCTAAATCCGGCAATACCGCATAGAAGAAATGTGTCGACCCAATTTTTATCTCTTTTTAATGCATTTGATTTTCCATTAAGCTGTCTACATCACTGCCTTACACGTTAAAATCCAGACCGCACAGTTTCGATGACCAAATCGGTAAGTATATGTAGTAGCCAATGATAAGTATGTACTGGTGTATGATTCAAAAAATGATATTAGTTTTTATAAGCAAAAACATAAACGACTTTCAAGATCCTAAACTTCAAATATATATCCTTCTGTTTTTTTTTGGGTAAATATTAACGATGATAGTAATAAACGCTTCGCTAGAACTCTGCCTGTGATGTGAATTATAATAACACAAGTCACAGAGAGAGTCCCAGAATGCATTTATCATCATACAAATCGCCCTGTATAACAACCTAGTCAAATTAAAATTATTATAAATATATTGATATAACAGTATAACAGCCCTGTATAATAGCGTTTACGCGACTTGAAAATAACATAGGAAATATCGTAGTATAAGAAGAACAGTAGCTCCACTAATTCGGTAGATTGTTTCCAGCATGCAGAGCGTTTCAGTAGATATCCGTCATAATTGTAGTTTCCTTTTACTACGATACCACCAGAGAGAGCATGTTAAATCTGTCTAACGAGTTATTAATTATACCACAGTAAAAAATAGTAGAATACTTACCAGTATAACTGCTACTACTGCTACTCGTCAGCCCTTTGAGACCAACCAAGGGACTGTCAGTGAAGAAGGTGACCTTGAAGTTGGGCGTGGTCCTCGAACAGCCGGCTCCGCCCAGTAGACTTTGAGACAGTGCCTGATTGGGCGATTCCAGTCTTGGATCCAATTGTACCATAGAGGGGGGTGTGGTGTTAAAAGTTAGATGGTCGGGGGGAGGAGGACCACAATGTGAGGTAGAGGTAGATTGAGTGGCGTCCATACTACTGGAGGTGTCGGGCTCATCTTTGATGAAGGATAACGACCGACAAATCTAAAAAAAGTAATAATTCATTTATTTCTTATTGAATTAATATAAGCTTATATCGTCTTGGTTATAAATAGAGTTATAACCCCCTTGTGGCATTATTAACGGGAATTAATATGCCATAATTCCCTCTATCTTTTATAAGTAAAAATAAAGTAAAGATTTCAGTTAACGTCTCCTTTTTGCTGCCAGCTAATCTGGACGGGACCTGCTTTGTTTACATATATTATATCATGGTCAATGTGGTCAATAGATTTTACACTTTTGCCTTTTTTTGGACAAGACGATACAGAGTTTCGAACCGGTCACCCGTCTATCCACTAGTATCGCCTTACGTCGCTTAACTTCGATGTACTAATGGGAACCGGTGTTGCGACGTAGCTGGGCCGTTGCTCTATCTTTTATAGGTAACAATCATGAAGTACAATAGAGATTTTGAGTAATAATATAAAATGAAAATAGACACTCACCTAACTACTATAATAGTTATATTATATTGTTTTAAAATGGGACAAAATACACTAAATTCGGTAAGAAATAAAATTATCTATGTATAAAGTGTTAATAACATCGGGCAATTATTGTCAGAAACAATGCCATCGGTAATTGTCACCCTTATATTCCTTTAAATTATAGAGAAGACTTAACAGATGACATTACCTGAGATGAAATAGGCCTATAATTTGTAGGAGGTAACGGACTATCCAACTGAGGTACTGGAGGCGTTGTAACCAAATCGAACAATCCCAACCCTGGGCTGAGCCCCATATCTTTGAGAAGGGGGTCCATGGGTGGTACTGGTCGAGGTGGTTTGACAGGCGACGGGGGTTCTGGACAAAGGAACACCTAAAAACATTTAAAAATAATTTTTTAAATATTTTTAATATTTAAAATCACCCCCAAAAGTTATACCAAAGAGTAAAAGTGTTTTGGTGTGTATAGTGAATTAGTGTTTTTTGTTTAGTTAAATTATTTATATAAAAATATCGGTTGAAATGATCGATATGACCTTATTTTTTCGTTCTTCTTTAGATATTATGAATTTAAAGGAAAAATGAAGCACTTTAGTATAGAGGTAAATTGCGTCAAATGAACTTATTTTGATTCCAAAAATACGTAGTAGTTCTATGTCTACGGAATATTGGGACACCCTGTATACGACTTACCTCTATAGAACCTTCTTCGCTTTTAATACGCATATTGTATCGATCTTCGTGGCTTTCTTCACCCGTATCCACTGATAGTTGTGCATTGGGAGGTGCCTTGATAGCCATCACAGTCTTATGCTTCATTTTGGTTATGGACCGAAGATCCGTATACGACACGTAACCATATCTACAAAATAATTCTATTTCAAGCATTCCACTCATTTAAAAAAAAAGTAAAAAATATGCCTATAGTGTGTTTTTATTATACCGGGTGCGTCTCAAAAGTGGGTCACCCCTATAACTTTTATTTTTTCAGATTAAAAAAAAAGAGATTTGGTATGATAGTATATGACATAAATTAGGATTTATTGACGTATTCAATTGTTTTCGGTCACTGCCTGTTTCACCGGAAATGACCACCACTTTTGATTTTTAAATGGCACCCCCGGTATTTTTTTACTATATTCGATAGGAAATGACACGCTGAAGAGAATGACATATTATATGTTAACTTTTGACATGTTCGCTCAAAAACAAATTGTATTTAAAATTTCAATCAAGAGTGCCATGGCTGTGTTAAAAACACTAATTTTTAATCAAGGAGTCTTGGAAAAATAGATTTGATCGTCTAATGTTTTTAGTGTCTTGTCCTGGCCAATTAAAAGATGCCCAAATCGTATTTTTAATCGTATCTCAATTTTTTCAAATGGAACGAGGGTGGCTTTGGAAAAGGCATTTTTTTACGAATAATTTGGTACCACACACTTGGTATTTCGAGTCAAATTGTCCTTATGAACCGCATGTTATAATTTCAAGTAAACAATATGCGAAAATGTCAAAAGTTGAATAAAGTAAAAAAATACCGGGGTGCCATTTAAAAATCAAAAGTTGTAGTCATTTCCGGTGAAACAGGAAGTGACCGAATACAATTGAATATGTCATCAATCCTAATTTATGTCATATACTAAAATACCAAATCTCGTTGTTTTATCTAAAAAATTTAAAAAGTTATAGGGGTGAGACACTTTTGAGACGCACCCGGTATAGTAAAAATCTCATTAAATTTCATTATTCTACCAAGATAAAAAATAAAATCTTTATTTTTCCAGCGTTCTTTGTACCATATGATCGAAAAAGAAACGGCGCCATAGACGGCTGGGAACGGCAATCGACGATAATTTTGGCGAGGTCAAGCCCTAAAAGTATTTGACTTGGCCCGTAGGCTTCTTTATTTTTTAATGGCGCTTAAGGAGGTTGTTATTTATTTTTGTATCGAGTAAAAATGATTTTAAATGGTGTAGTTTAAAATTAGAGCAAATATATTTTTTGGAAATAGATTTGTGTCTGGAAACGTTATATCCTTTTTTAATCTTTCTATAATTATTAGTGTTAATCTAAGAATGAAAAAATATTTTATTTCTTACTGAATTAATATACAGGGTGTTTCAAAACAAATGCGAAAAACTTCAGGGGGTGATTCCTTATTCAAAATAAAGGGTAGTTTGCTTCATAAACGTTGGGTCAAAAGTCAACCATTAGGGAGATATCGCGGTGCAAAAATGGCGGAAAAAATAATGTTTTTATTTTTTATCTTGAAAACGAAAAGAGATAGACTAATGAAATTTTATGGAAGCATTACTGTTATGAAAACACACTTTCTGGTAATTTTTCTCACTTTTTTAAAATGAGTGGAAGGGGTTGAAATAAACTACCCCTATCATTCTTGTTAACGAAATTTATAGAAAATTCTTATTAAACACATGCAAAAAAATTAATTTGGATAGTTTAGTTTGTTTAGAACTTTTTTATCTCTTGTGTTTTTTTGATAAAACACACCGATTTGAAATTATAAAATAAAATGTAAAGCATTACATGTCAGAACAAAAAACATTTTTAGATAAAGATTCTAGTGGGCTGCTTTTTTTCCACTCATTTTAAAAAAGTGAAAAAATTACCAGAAAGTGTGTTTTCATAACAGTAATGCTTCCATAAAATTTCATTAGTCTATCTCTTTTCGTTTTCAAGATAAAAAATAAAAACATTATTTTTCCGCCATCTTTGTATCGCGATATCTTCCTAATGGTTGACTTTTGACCCAATGTTTATGAAGAAAACTACACTTTATTTTGAACAAGGAATCACCCCCTGAAGTTTTTCGCATTTGTTTTGAAACACCCTGTATAGAATCATAACCATAAATAGAATCATAACTTAAATCGTATGTATTCTCTGTTATACTTGTCAACAAAAAAACGTATCAAGTTTTATTATTGGCCGTAAATTATTTGATGAACTGTGTTTATTTTAAGACTCCTAACTAAACTTGACGCTTCTTGGCTTTGCCTGAAATTCACAGCATTCTTCGTACCTGCTTCGAAACGAAGACAACGTGAAAACGAACACCCTATAAAAGAGCCGACCCTAACGGTAAAAAAGACAAATAGACTCTGAATGAACCAGTTTGATCTGAATGGCCGCATTTTTATGCTGCATCTCTATAAAAGGCGACAAAGGATCAACAACCCTATCTAGTTTTTAGTCTTTGCCCTATTTTGATATTTAAATGAACAAAAAAGGACGTCTAAAAAGATACATGTATGTAAAATCTTCGCAAAAAAAGTCCCAAGAGAAATAAAGAATTTTTTTAATTAGATCTTTATACAGGGTGGCTTAAATTGGGGCCAAGTTGCAAACTGAAATTTGTAGATTTCGTTTTTTATTTTTTCCGGCTTTATTTTGACCGTTAGTAAAAATCTATATTTGATACCAATTAAACTTTAGTTACGTAATCGAGGGCGCGATTTTTAAATTCATTGTTGCCAACCATGGACATATTCGGCGCCGGACTGACTAACTGCAATTTAAATTTCCCGCTGGGGATTCAGGTGGTAGCTCTGCTGTAAAAAATGTCAATTTGCCACATTTATTTATTTCCTGTTTCCACTGTTATTAATATCTTAATTATTAGATATTAATACATCTAGTATTATGGTATTTCGTCGATTTTAAAATAAACTAACTGTTTCTATCTTATTTTTTTGTTAGAATGGGCATAATCAAGAGGGCTACTGATACCGTGTCGTAAAAATACGGTACTTAAGAGCTTATTTTTTGATATTTATTATAATTTTGCTAATATCTTCGGTTTGAAAGAAGATATCAAGATGCGGTTTTCGCTGACTTTTTAAGCTTTTATTACTCTTTACTATCAGCTAAAATTACACATACTATCGTATTTAATTTTTTTGAAAAAACGCGCTATGTTTATTAAATTGTAAGAAAGCGCCCCCTAGCGTCTACGTTCAAAACCTTATTATTATTATTATTATGGTATAATATAGAGTAAGAAACGCTTTTTTAAACGAGCCTAGTTTGTTGGATTCTGATCATCCAGAGAGTTCAGAGTTTTTAACATTTAAATAAAGACAGATCTAACCTTCCCCCACCACTTTATTTTAGCAGATAGGGGAAACGGTTCTAACAAAAAAAATCCAAAATTTACTGAATATTATGAAGCTATTATTCATAGTACCCATTATCTAGGCAAAATTCTGTAAAAATTCTATTTTTTTATTTTCCAGAGCAGTTGCACGCTCTAGCGGCCATTTTACAAACTTGAAAATAATTTCCAGCAAATTCTAATAGCCTCTTTAGTTATAAATATTTTTCCGTATGCTCGACGACTAATACTTTCCGAGATACAGCCGAGAGCTATTCTTAGTGGGACACCCTTTACAAGATAGCTTAACAGCCGTAAAAAACTCATCGCAACATTATTAGAATATTTTAAACGGGAAAACGGTAGTAATGACCCTTTATATCCCTTAAGTGCTGTTAAGGAGGTGAGTTTTCTTGATATAAATAATAACTATTTATATATTTATAATTAATTTATTTTTGTTTCCTACAATATGTTGATTAAAAGAAAATATGTAAAAGTGGGCAACGCTGTGCCGGTCAAGCTTAATCACGTGACTAAAAGTTTATTTGATATGAACTATATTGCACTTATCCAAAAGAGTATACAATCAACTTGTATCACACTCTCATATCTCACGATCATGGCCACACCTAATAAATGTCTGCCTTATTATATCCACGGTCTCCTGGCCCACTTGATAAGGGGCTCTTTAAATTTTAAAGTCAACACAGGAGTCGTTTAAAACATGTGTATCTCTCTCTTTGTGTCGAGCGCTGCACTTTCAAGTCTGTTTTTCAAAAAAACCGTTTAGTTTAGCCACCCACCCGACATATCTCGAAAAACATAACTTCCTGTCGTACTAATACTGTCATTTTTTTCTAAGAATCTAGCGCCATAATTCTTCCAGCCCAGATATTGTTACAGGGTGGCCCAACGTTCAGAAAAAGGTCACTATAACGTTTTGTATTTGATATTTTCCTTTAAATAAAGAAATTAAGGAAGCATCTCTTATTATTCTCTTAGGATCAAGCTGGCTAAATTACCAGTTCATTAGTATGATCGTTCTAATTTTATTTAAAACGTGTAAAATGTAATGCAGGGTACACTCAATAATTTGTTGGTTTTGTTTTATGTTGTCCATAAATGTTATTACAAAAATATCATATACGCTACTGAAACACCAAAAGAAGACACATTTTTGACAAGTTGTAAATAAGAACGAAAAAGCAAGAGAAAATATATAATTAATTACTTCTAAGTGAATTTATGAATTCATTGGTTTACTACACATAACCTGAATTATACAGGGCCAGTCTTAAATAAGTGCAAATAATTTTAGGGGTGGTATGGTATATTTCGACCCCAGGAATACGTCTGTGAGATTTCCTTCGAAAAAAAAAGATGTTGAAAATCGTGCATTTTCTTTTAAATTTTACTGTATATTTTAGAAAACTTTTCCCACGGTATAATTTCTTAATTTCTGATATTACCATTGTTCCGGCTTTTCTCTATGGTTACGGCACTTAAAGGGGTGCAAAAATACAGAAAAAATCTGGTGGCTCTCAGATTTTTTTGGGCTTCTTTGGATTTGAAAAATGACAAAGAGAGAAAATATGTTTCTTTTATCGAGATCTAGTAGCCCTGAAAATATTTGCACTTATTTAAGACTCACCCTGAATATAGTTCATATCAAAAACTTTTAGTCACGTGATTAAGCTTGACCGGCACAGCGTTGCCCACTTTTGCATATTTTCTTTTAATCAAAG